CAAAAATTGCAAAAAAAAAACATTCAGAGATTAAGTAACCGAACAAAACTTTTCGACGATTATAAAACGAAAAATCACGATTTAATAGTTATTTTAACTCTGATTTTGATGATTTTTTACAGCTACACTCCTTGACCCTATATGAATACAATGAATTAATTCGATCATCAATTTAAAATATTTACACTAGTGGTACGTTATACTTAATGAGAGTATGAATAAACTCTTAAGTGTTAGTGAATCTATTGTTTTGATGGGATACACATTCTACGAAACTAGTTTCAACGATCCAACCGTCAAACATGTTTGTATATACTTCAAGATCGCATATGTCAAAAATTGTAAAAAACAAACATTTAGAGACCAAGTAATGGGACAAAACTTTTCGACGGTTATATTTACGTGGCAAAGTGTGGTATGTGCAAATTTAAGAAAAAATATATTTTTCTTAACGAGTTATAACGTGTCAGGTCACTTTACCCGTTGGGTAAAGTCACCCGACCTGTTAAGATAACAGGTGTGACACGATACGACCTGTTAAGATAACAGGTGTTACATGAAAACGACACGAATACGACATACACGACCCGTTTGCCAGGCCCAGTAGCTGCAGTGGTGTACGGTGGAGGTGGTGATGGCCATTGTGGTTGTGGTGATGGCAGTGGATAATATGATAGTTATGGTGGTGGGTGGGGGGGGGGGCGGAGGTGCAGGTGGTAGTGGTGTCAGTTATGGCGATCATATGACAGTGGAGGTGGTGGTGGTGACCAGGGTGGCAAGGGTGGCAAGGGTGATGGCAGTGGAGGATATGGTGGTTGTGTTGGTGAGGTTATGGGAGTAGTGACATATGTGATTTTATTTTTTATTAAAGGAAAACTTTAGTTCTGGCCCCTAGTTCCATAAAATCCTAGATTGAAACTTTATTAGTTTGAATACCTTGATTGAAGGACAAAATGTTAAAAATTTCAGTATAGATTAAGAAAATTTAGTAGCAAAAAATGTTAAAAATCCTTCCTAAATTCATAAATAGTAAACCTATAAACGGGTCGGGTTTATTGGATTTGGATCAGGTTTCACCCAACCCGTTAGGATAACAGGTTACTTTAACCTAACCAGTTAAGCTAACGGGGGTCATCCAAACTCAACCTGTTAAGCTAATGGGTCACCCGTTAACAATTTTTTTTTTTTAATACTTTTGCATCCCAATACAAATTACACATATTTTAATCAATATTTCAAGCATGAGGGTCCAACACATTTAGAAGTACCCATATAAAAAAGGTCGTACCCAGTGCACAAGGCTCCCGCTTTACGCAGGGTCTGGGAGAGGTGAATGTCAGCTAGCCTTACCCCCATTAACTCATGAGATCAACTACATAGGTGAAAATGTAGGATTTTGGTTGGATTCTGCAACTTCGGTGTCTCCTCAACAACCCAGGATATCAACTCTAGTTCTGATCAGTGCCCTTCAAGATTCAATACCCAACTACCCAGATCACAAATTCACATGCAGATAATATCAGCTAACATACAAGTAAAAAAAAAAAAAACAAATTGAAACAGAGGACTTTCAATCCCAGGAAACAACTTTTAAGAACAAAAGTATTTGGATAAATGGTCCCCGTGGTCATAAGGTATTCGGATGATAGCCCCTGTGGTAAAAAAATTCGGATTTAAACCCCTGTGGTCTAAATTTGTTAGGATTTATGCCCTTCTGTTAAATAATGCTGACGTGGCTGCCACATATATGCCACGTGGCTGCCAAATGTCTGCCATATGGCAAAAATAATAATTTTTAATTTTTTTTTAAAAAACCTGAATTTTTACAAAAAAAAAAAAAAAAACCCAGATCTGCGAGAAGAAGAAGGAAAAGGGAGAGGGAGGAGGGTCGCGCGGGGAGAGGGCTCCGGCGAGGGGGGGAGCTGGTCTCCGGCGGGAAGAAGAAGAAGAAGAAGAAGAAGAAGAAGAAGAAGAAGAAGAAGAAGAAGAAGGAAGAGGGAGAGGGAGGAGTCGCGCGGGGAGACCGGCGGGAAGAAGAAAAAGAAGGAAGAAGGAGAGGGAGGAGGGTCGCACGGGGAGAGGGCTCCGGCGGGGGGGGGAGCTAGTCTCCGGTAGGAAGAAGAAGAAGAAGAAGTCCGGCGGGGGGGGGGGGAGCTTCTGGGTTTTTTTTTTTTTTTTTTTTTTTTTGTTGTAAAAATTCAGGTTTTAAAAAAAAAATTAAAAATTATTATTTTTGCCACGTGGCAGACATTTGGCAGCCACGTGGCATATATGTGGCAGCCACATCAACATTATTTAACAGAAGGGCATAAATCCTAACAGACTTAGACCACAGGGGTTTAAATCCTAATAGACTTAGACCACAGGGGTTTAAATCCGAATTTTTTTACCACAGGGGCTATCATCTAAATACCTTATGACCACGGGGACCATTTATCCGATTAGGCCTAGGTGCAAATGTAGGATTTTGGTTGGATTCTGCAACTTCGGTGTCTCCTCAACAACCCAGGATATCAACTCTAGTTCTGATCAGTGCCTTTCAAGATTCAATACCCAACTACCCAGATCACAAATTCACATGCAGATAATATCAGCTAACATACAAGTAAAAAAAAAAAAAAAACAAATTGAAACAGAGGACTTTCAATCCCAGGAAACAACTTTTAAGAACAAAAACCACTAACTAAGATTAAAATTTCACATACAGAATTAAACCCAATTCATGAAACACAAAATATGATCAAAACCTCATGACATTCAAAGAACAAGAGGCTGCCATGGTAAACCCTCATTGGCTATTAAGCTAAGCATCAATATACAGTGGTCACATGAACAATTGAAAGGCAACCAGACAGTTAAATTACACATTTAATTGGAAAAACCAATCGAACCAACTTTATGTAAGAAAAAATATGAAGAAATAAGAGCAGAAAAAGTATAGTAAAAAGGCAAAGCTTAAGACATAATTTAAAATGGCAGAGAAACAGGAGAAACCAGAAGAAGCCATGAGTCATACAAGATCAAAGACAAAGTAGAGAGCAAGAGTGCTAGAGGAGATAGAAGCAAGGAAAACCAGACAACGGCAGAGAGCATGCGAGAGTGTGAGCCGGAGAGAGTGAGCCGGGTTTTTTTGGTTATGTCTATTGAAATTACACAAAAGTCCTCAATAATAGGTGTTAACAAGTGGCTAATGGGTTTGGCAGGTTGACACAAAATGACCCATTGTTTAATGGGTTCACCCGTTAGCAACCCGACCTGTTAAGCACCCATCCAAATACTAGTTTTAACGGGTTAGGTTAACATGTCGGGTCTAAATGTCAGGTCTACTAAATAGGAATTTTAATTATATTTTTTTCAAATTTGAACAGTGGAAAGATAAAATTTTTTTTTTTATAAATAATGAATATTATAAATTAAAAAAGTGAATGGCTTTTACATAAAGCAAACGGGTATATTTTATGTAAAAAAATTGGTACATTTTACATATATATAACAAATTGGTACTTTCTTTTATAAAAAAATGGGTATATTATAAACAAATCATGAGGAATAGAATTCTTTTCGGATCCTCTTTGTGGGGATTCGGAAGATCAATCAATCATGCTCATTCATCATACATCGTACGGTTATAAATCATTTTAAATTTTAAATTTTAAATTAAATACAAATAGTACCTAACGAAAACTGACCGTACAATGTACAATGAATAAACACGATTAATTGATCCCTAGATCCCCACAAAGAGGATCCGGAGAGAATCCTTGTCCAAATCATGGGTACAAATAAAGGATAAAAAAAAATATAGGTACAAATAAAAGTTTAAAAATACGGGCATAGAAAGAAAATTATTTATATCAATAGAAATTAAAACTAAAAAGATTGATAAATATTACAAAAATGGTTGTACATTAAAAATTGGTACAAATTAAAATTAGAAATATAGATACAATATTTAGCCATAACTATAGATATATCAAATTTAACGTTTCTAACACTAAGTGAATTTATTTGGAAATGGTTAAAAAATTTAAATATGCTAACCATACATATTTTATTATTGAAATAATGACGTGGATAAAAATCAAAGGTTTTCTTTTTGTCAAAAATTGAAAAGGAATAAGGTTTCATTCAATGAAATACCAAAAATGAGGAATGAGAACCCAATTTCTTCTTTATTACAACTCTGACTTTGTTTTGTAATGTATCATTTATTTAAAAACTGTTCTTGAAAAACTAGAGGAAACATCAATTGATGTTCTACAGAACTTATGCTAAATATTGTTTTATGTGTTTTTCATTTTCTGAGTTTATTTTCACGAAAAAGTATGTCAAACGCATTTTTCATCTGTTTTTAAATTTGCAAAATGAAAAAGTATTTTTCAGAACGTTAACAAACATGCCCTAAATTTTTTACATGTAAGTATACAAGATGTCTTGTGTGATCCCGTCCATTAAACTGATTCTCTATTGAACACCTATATATTCATAATCCTCATCTCATGGTCCTCATCATAGTGCCTTATTACAAATGACTTGGACCAATCATCCTCCCATTGAGTAGACATAATGAGTAGTAGTCTTCCCATGTTATACGGTCATGAACAACTTAACATATATTAGTGGGGGACGAAGGTATCTTGTTCAGCTTTCTTGGACTAATTTCTCTCATGCTCATAGTTCATGGACTAATTGTTTGGATATAGTTACAAGAAACTATGTACCAAACAATTATCTTAAAATTTGACGAATTTTCAAACCAAACACCTGGATAATACAATTGAGATGACATAGAGCATGTGTGATCGTTAGGCTTCACACATAAGACAACCTGCTCTGATTTCATACAGGAAGTTGAGGTTTTATGCGCGAGACCTTTCCAATTGATCATCCACCAGATTCTCCCTAATGGCAGGGGCACTTTGATTTCACTAATTTTAAAACATCCATAAATATATGAAGAAAAAAAGAAAATAAAAAAGAAAATTTGATAAGACGCTGAGAGATAAAAACAAAATGCAATTTTAGTTTCTTATTGGTCAATTTTCACAAGGTCTAAACTACATGTTCCCTTTCTTTTGGGTCTCTTTTTTCATCCCTCTCTCACTCTTTTTTTTTTTTTTTTTTTTTTTCCTAAACAAAATTGTTCTTTCCTATGTACAAGTTGCAATCCAGAGGACAGAAATGACTGAGATAAAACAGAGGCACCCTCTTCAGGCTTGCAGATAACTCCAATAAAAGATAGAGCCAGGGGCCAGGAGCCAGGAAAACCCTGAGCAAAAAACTGAGCAGCCGGCAGCGGCAGCCGCTGCCTCCTTCACAAGGCGTAAAATCCATCAACACATAACATACAGAAATCATCTCCTTTCTTTGCCTCCAAACCAGAAGCTGCAAACTGACTCCCGTCGTAAATCTGTCAGAATTGTCTTTCAAAATTGGAACGCCATCACTTCAATGTCGCTGTGGGATTGATTATAGGCATTACTTACTAGTAACTACCGGCTACTGGTGACTCCTCTCTTTCATGGCAGTGGCTCTCTCTTTGGCACGAAAGTCCTCCAAGCGACAGTATACTTCACTGAGCAACTGATCCAATTCCGGATGTTTCATTAGAGACTCTTTCTGATCCTGTTGTTGACGATAATGATGAAAAGCCCTGCATGTGCACAAGGAATTCAAATTTATACAAAGCCAGTTAAATGCAGAGTTTGGATGAGATGAGGATTACTACCAGATTGTCTAAAACTCAAACAGTATTCAGTACAACAAAGCGATGCATGAATGTTACCTAATAAACATCTTCAATTCCATGAGTTCTAAATGAGAACATTAAATAATATAAGTGTTTATCATTAAGTTTAGCTATCGTTAAATGAAATGATCATAAATATAGGTGAACGCGGGCCTTCTGTAAATCATCAACACTTAAGGTCGTATTTTTTTGTATCATTGCCAATTTCTGCAATACCTACACAAGACTTGAAGTAATAAAACCTTCTGTGGCATCCATACTTCGTCCTTGATTGCTTCAATATGGTAAATCGAATTCTCGTATTTTGCTTCAGCCTATTTTGCAGTCAAGGATAGTACAACCTGGACAGTATTGATCTCAACCACGAGTTCAAACAATTCTTGATAATTCATCCTATTAGGCTAATATCCATTACCCTAGCTTCACAGCCCTCAATGAAATCGTCTACCTTCTGCTTCACAGTAAATCCAACTATCTTCTTCATATTGGTAGCTACACCAAATTACCAAGCAGAGTTCTTTAGGTGACCTTCCATTCTCTCAACCATAGCAGCCTTTCGATTTGTTCTCCAAGAGTATCCAATAACTAAACATAGAGGAGAGTGGTTTGCGAAAGCTTTATAAGTGGTTACAAACAGTGATAAGATGCATAATTAAATATGGAACACAGTGCAAAACTACTAGAAAAACTATAACAAGAATGAGAAAATGAGCATTGGGAATCGAGTATCGATGATATCCATATCAGTATTATGGCATTTTCTATGGTGCTCCGGACTTGTTAAACATTAGATCTTTGATAAACAACACAAAAATCAAGACCTAATGGTTAAAAAGCCCCAAGATGTAACGATTAAAAATCCCGGAGTATCTGATACTCCGGAAGACCATAAAAGTCTTGCAGTAACATACATAATTAATGGTACAGGGATCCAAAAAAAAAACTCAGGAGGACCATAAATTATGAAAGAATCAACAGAACTATTCTGATCACATTAGCCTAATCAAACATTTAGGAAACCAAAATTCTACATCACAAGGTTTCAAGGAATTAATCAAAATCCTATCAACTGTAACAGAACACTATGGTCAATTTTCCAGTAGAAAATTCATTTTTTATTTATTTATATTCACTTTATTTCCATTTACTGTTGAATTCTTCTTTCGAATTCATAAAAAGAATTCTTAACCGAAAATGTTTCTAATAGGCTTACACAACATCAACCCAATGAAGGAAAAAAAAGCCCCAATCTGTTACATCATAAAGAAAAAGGAAGAATTATTACCAATATTTTTCCAGGCCATAGAGATTGCCTTTATGGTAAAAGTCAAGTGTGAGCTGTTCAAAGTCCTTGTACAAGTCCTCTCTAAAATCCTTCTCCAAACCATAACTAAAACAAGAAAACATGCACACACATAAACACACATATAGTACTAAATAACTGAAACCACAAGTTAAGCTGAGAATTCAAGAGGGGATTGCCAATATTAATAAAACGGGAAACGACCACAATTTTATCACTAACCTATAGAACCTGAAAAGGCACTCTACTCCATAATTATAACCAGCAGCAGCATCTTCAAGTGCGTACTTTCGGAACTCATCATACATTGAAGAGTTGAACATGTTTCTTAGAAAATAACACCAAAATCTATAGAGAGTATTCATTTCCTGCATGGGAACATTTCACTGTAAATAACTGCCAATCATGTAACTGGAATTTTTTATATGGGTATTGAAAAATGACTGCATAAAAACTAGATAATTTAATGTTAGATAAAATTGCATAACGAAGAGACGTGAAAATCCCATTTGTATACTTGAGGCAAGGACCAACAATTCTAGTGCATCCAAATGCGATAAAAAAAGTCCTCACTTTCTGATACTACAAATATAAAGCACTATAGATATAATATGAACCCCACAAATCCAGAACTTTATCCACCATCCATGCTTAATTGATCAATACTTTATATTTATTTTAAGAGAATTGTTATTGGCACTCCAAAATTCTCATTTTGCACTTCATACTTTCTATATTTAGGAAGAAAAATATGTTTGTGAGGAGTGCAAAACGATATTTTTGGAGTGTCAATAACAATTCCCTTATTTTAAGGGCCTAGTATATAATTGCAAACAGAAAGTGTTGTCACATACTCAGACAAACATAGAGATGCAACAATTAAGTGGAAGTGGGTACCAAATTTCGATGAGTATATTCAATAAATCAATTCAGATAAAAGACCACCTCACTGCAACCAATTCCCAACTTCTTCCTGTCATTCAGGCACCGCTTATGATACTTGAGGTACCTAAAAGGAATGGCAGCCATGTCAGCATATATGTATACACACACGCACAAGTGCGCACACACACATATCAATATATCTCTGTCTCTACCTATCACACACATACAAGAGTAAAAATTACATCCCTTACTTCTGCTGTTTAAAACCATTTTCTTCCAGAAGTTGATGACTTGGATGCTGAAATGGTGGAAAGGACTTTGGCACAGAACCCACTGGTGGACTACTGCCTGAGAGAAACCCATGAGGAGAGACACTCAATTTTGAAGGCCTTGGTCTGTAAATGAATTTTATATTTGTATTAGCTTCTCGGAATGATAAGAGCAAATATACTTAACATCACATAAGCTTAGTATTGCAGATATTGCCCTTGATTTTAAGTTTTATTAATTACAAGAGTCCTGCTCTCCTAAGGTCCTCATTTTGAGTCTGTGAGGACCACATGCATATTAGCCACACGATTATATTAGTTTAGATCCAAGGGCTTAAAATATTTGACAACTTAATAAAGCAAAACAAGAAAATGAGTTTTCTAATGGTTCATGGATTTTAAGTTGGTTTTGCTTTATTAGGTTGTCAAATATTTTAAGCCTTTAGATCTAAACTAATATAATCTTGTGCCTAACATGCATTTGGTCCTCACAAGTCCTCAAAATGAGGACCTAAGGAGAGCAGGACTGTAAATACAATTGGTCATCTCAGAAGCAAGATAGACAAACTTCTAAATCACTAGAAAGAATTACTCTACTGAAGAAAGAAATCCAAAACCAAAGTACCATCCATTTCAACTAACCCATGAGTTTCAGGAGGCGTGGAACTAAAGAAAAAGCCAACAGAGTTACTTGGTGGACTTTCTGATACAACTCCTAGATTGTTCCGACCAGTACCATAATTTCTAAAGTTGCTTGAGAAGAAACGCTGTCTAGGGGACGATTGATGATTTTGGGAGAGTCTATTTTGCTTCTTCCGTGAATTAGCACTTCCAGACTCTTCAATGCCAATACCACTGCCAGATATTTCACCAGGCTTTAATTTTGAAAAGCCTTTGGAAATGCTTGAAAATCTTGAGTTTGCATCTCTATTGTCATGGCTGGTGCTGTTCTTTTTACGGTTTGATCGCTTGGTTTTCAGTTCCTGCTAATTGAACATATGTTAAGAGCCAGGATAGTGAAGTACGGTAATTAACAAACTCCATGGGGATGTTCTGAACCTGCTCATAGAAGTAAAGCCCATCATTTATAGCAGACGCTAGCTCATTGGAAAGGGTTTTTGATTCTTTATCATCAGGTTTAGATCCTTCGCCTACTCTACTATTCTGCACAGAAAACAAAGAAATGGCTACTTATCAAAATGCTACATACATGAAATTAAAATCTCACTAAGTCGAAAAACTAATCAAACAAATACAAAAAGGACCTTTGCATGAAAAAAACAGTCTCAAGACACTTTTTGTTAGCAGCATACCTGGGTGACAATTACAAGTCTCTGGACATCCTGATCATTGACTACAATCTCATCATATTCATCATCAATCGTCCGGCCAACACTGTCATATGAACACATACAACAAGTAGTAAGCCACATGTATATTCAAATTCATGATCATAGTCTTGTAATGCTATTGAAGCAAGAGTAATTAGCCAGGATAAGCAAAAATTCTTAGGCACAATTTAAAAAGAAAGCTCAAGTTCAACCACTAATTTTGGTCCACCAACAAAAAAGAAAGAAATAAGCGAGGGAAATATACGAGCACTGGCACATAGCCACGTGAATAGAGATCACAAGGTTTCCAACACACAAGTTTTTCAAATGAATAACAGAACAAAAACAAAAGCATTTTAATTATAAAAAATTAAAAAAAGAAGAAAAAAAAAGAAAAAAAGAAGCCAACTACTAGGGAAATAGAATCTCACCACAAGCACACCCCAGTATCCAAACGGGGAAGAAAAACACATGGTGATTGGTGCCCCTTTCTCAATTTGTCTTTACAATGAGTTTAGATCTACTTGGAAGGATGGAACAATTGAAACGATATTTACATTCAATCAGGTAGTTTGCCCTACCTCAAATCATATTTAACCAATGTTGGGTCATTTTCTTCATCACTAGGTACCCCTGGAAATCCATCGGGGGCCCAAACCCATGGTGCTTATAGTTCTCATGGGTACGGGTGATTTTGTGCACATGGGGTTTCCCCACCTATTGCCCAAAGGGTGGAGTAAGGGTTTCCATAGAGATGCTAGTTTTGGTTTATTGAAACTGTAAAGTACCAAGAATTAAAGGAACTAGAAAGACATCGTACATAAGTCGCATCAATCAAATGCAACAAAAAAAAGTTCCATACCTTCTAATAGGAGAACGATCATCCTTTATTATTTTCTGCTCAAGCTCTAGCTCTTCATCCAGCATAAATGTGTTTGCAAAATCATTAGACAGATTTCCAAGATTCTTCATATCCATATCTGAAGGCATGCCTTCAGGCCTATCATCATCATATCTTCCAGTTTCAATTCCCTCTGAGTGGTATGGGCGGTCTGAGCAATGATCCATTTTGGGATCCAAGGACTTGCAATTTGATTTGGAAGTCAACTTTTCATTTAAAGCACTATTATTATCAGAAGATGCTAGTGATCCACCATCAAATTGATTATCAGTGTCAGGTATGGTATTTGATGGCATGCACGACATCAAATTTTTTCCATCTGATAAAACTTCAACTTTTTCCTCAAAAGTTTTCCTTCTATCATTGCTGGCATTATTCTCAGGAGCATTGATATACCTATCTTCAACTTGAACCAAGGGGGTTTGCGGCTTGGAAGTTAACATTGAGTCTGCAGAATCTGCAATCCACTTTGACCACTCATCACGTCTTCGTATCTTGTTAGCCTACAAAGACGAAACAAAACAAGTGCATGTCAGAGCAAAAGAAGCAATATATTTCAAAACCAGTCATAACTTGTCAGCATACCTGCCAATTTCTCTGAATAATTTGCATTGCTATGACAGATAACATAAGTGACACCAATCAAAGTCAAACGCAGCATCTCAAACAATAGAAAGGCACAAACTAGGAAGAAATAAAAGCAGAGTTACAATAAAAAATTATTAAACAAAGGTAATAAACTACCAATTCAAACTCCACGTCATTTCTATTTCTTTTTCACGGTTACAACACCGTAATAATTCTTTGATATGTAAGGAGAGTCTTCTCTAACCTACTGTGGTGTTGATGAGCAAATTATATCCACCACATGAATTATTAATGTATCAAGACATGAATCATGTCGATGCTTTCAAATGACCATCTCTTCAGATTTTAAGATCCAATCTTAATACAGATTTGCATCTAAATACATCATATCAATTATTTTCTTATGAAGACAACGACAGTCCTCATCTACACATCTTCACAGGCATAACTATAGACAGGAAAAAGAGAACCAAGAAGTATAAAAAGAACAAAAATTAAAACACAAAGAAAAACCTGAAATCAAATGAAGGGAAACATCTGCAACCTAAAAGGTGGTTGAATAGGAAAACTAGGAAAGGAAATTTTTTCAACAAAGACATTATATCTAGCCTGTTAATGGTAGGAGAAGAAAATTTAGACATTTTAGCCAGTTCAGAGAAATCAGACTAACTATGAATGTAAAGTTTTATTTAACTATGATATTGAAGGTTGGAAGAGGGACGAAGAGAAAGGAAAGAAAAGGTTGGATACTACAGTAGTTGAGAAAGAGAACAATGGACGGCAAAAACAGGTTGTTACTCCATAAAAAAATCTTACGACATGCTACATTAAAATAAGAGAAGAAAAAAGATTAACCTGCACTTCTACAGTAGTTGAGCCCAGCAGTGAGTCAAGGATAAATGCTATGTCTGTACACATTTTCTTAACCTGTAACACAAAATATCAAAAGATAGCTCATTTACATTATTGTAAGATACAAAACAGGAAGACAAATTAACTAATATAATAGATTACACAGCTGACCAAAAGCAAAACTGGATCAGCATGTATTACTTAGCTTCTGCAATGTCTACTATGGTACCACAACATACCCTTTTAAAGTCCGCAATGGTGGTTATTGGGACCCATCCTTGGTCATCCATCAACGAAATTAAGTAACGGTCATTCTTTAGATTTTCATCGCTGCCCCAAAGAGAGATTAAGAGTTAACTAATAAAAGAAATATTTTTGTTGTCTATGCCATGTTTAAGAGAACACTCCCTCTCATTATGTGTGAAAAATCTGTCATATCCCTGACAAAGAGATAACTTAAATCTAGTGATAATTTTACCCTTACATACAGCAGCTAACAAATTAAGCAAAACAAAAAAGAAGAAATCACAGCTTGATTATATTTCAATTTATAATCATACATCCTAAACCAGATTAAATACCATCAGTTGAGTTATCTTATATACTTCCACCAATTTAGAAGACCTGAAGGCATACGATGTGTGAAGGACCTATATATATGAAATACTCATTTTCGTCTTAAAAGGTTGAAATCAGCTTAGAACAAGCACCATGTCCTCATACTGGAGGGTGTGGAAATTGTACAGACCAAAGTGAAATATGAACTATCAAATTCTTTCTTTTGGAATTTTAACTACTCTTAGCAGAGAGGGTTGAGAATGTGTGATTTCATAATTGACAAAACTTCCTTCCATGTGTTAAGACTTAACAATCACGCCATGAGGTATAACAAAGTTCAAAATGCTCATTAATGGGTTCTCTAATTAAAGCATTGGAATAACATATATTGATATTGAAAGCACGTTGGAGAGATAAGATCATCTTTAATCCTTTCGTATCACCCATTCTATTCTATTTCTTCCAGACTATTACATTTTGGTTTCTAAGTTTCTTTTCGTACCTTTCAATAAAAAGAAAAGATAAGAAATCTGTCAAGATAGTAAGATTCCTCTAAGAAAAACTAATTTTGATAATACATCTTTCGGATTGAATGAATACAGCATCTCATTAAACAACAAATGAATAGCATTTTTAGCTTCAATTTCTCCTATTAAGTTGTATAGTTTATCATAATTATGCTAAAGAGGAAAGTTTTCTCAACAGTGCAATGCAAACACATATATGCACTAGCTTGCAGGTGGTGCACAAACACTGAATTTGGCCAGAAAAGAGTCTTTCTTAAACAAATTACCTGAAATAATACTCTATTTGCTTTATAATATTGTCCCTCAATGATAATGTATGTGTTTCTGAGGGTGGTAATGGAGCCCCCGGATTTAAAGGATGCGGCATAAAGCTAGGAGGATGAGGTCCCCTAACTGCGCCCAGTGGTGGAACTGGAAGATAGCATATGGGTGCAGGTCCTGTGTAATTGAGATAAATCATTGCGGGAAGAATCTAATACTGAACAACACATGTATACAAATAATACATATAATTCATAAATGGAAAATAAAGGAGCAGCAACCACTCGAGTATTACGAGAAATGGAAATAATACAAATAATACATGTATACAAATAATACATGATAATACATATAATTCATTCAAGATACTGATTTCTCCTTTTTCAGATAACTAAAATTCAAGTATAGTGCTGACACTGGAAATAGTCAAAAACCAAGGGAGAAATGGAAAATTGCATACAACAACAACAACAAAGTCTTATCCCACTAAGTGGGGTCGGCTGTATGAATCCAAATAGAAAATTGCATAGAAATAAAAAAAAAATATATATATATAACTGAAATCAAAATAAGACAGCTCAGCACCGGTATGATAGAACTACCAGGAATGCTTGGGCCGACCATGAACCCTGGGGCTGGACCAAAAAACTGAGGTCTTAAGAAAGGGATAGGTCCAACACCCTGCTGCACAGGAATGTTCTCTCTGGGGTTAAATGCTCGCTGTTGATGCCAAGTATGATTCCAAGGGCCACCATGTTCGTGCATGTTGGGTCTTCTAGTAGAAAAATTGACACCATAAGCATTTGGATTACCTCGTGGCTGAGGTTGAACTGGTTGCACAAAATTTTGCACTGAGGTCTCACATCCAGATTTTGCAATATGATTTCCAACACTTGGATGTCCAGCGTATGGCTGGTAAGCATACCCAGAAGCCAGAATGTGGGGTTGTACCATGGTATGAAAAACAGGAGGAAGTGGTTGTTGATGGTAGGGTACGGGTACTGGAAAAGGAGGTGCAGCATTTGGGTTGTGCCTAGGGCCTTTTTGGTGATGTGATGATGAATGCTTGTGTGAAGCGTTGGAGTTTCCAGACCCATTCGACTTCTGCTGCATGACTAATCCCTGCATGACCAAGCAGAACATATAAAAGCAAAAACAGTTAGCAACCAGATGAACTGAAGTAGCATGTATCTTTCTTTTCATTTCCTTTTTTCAAAGAACAAGGTAGTAATTTCGATGATCAGATCACAGGACCTAGCATTAAAAATTCCAAATAACCCCCCTCCAAATGCTATTAATCAATTTTTTTGTCTCTCAAAGAATTATTGCTAGACATGTGAACAACAGGACCAAAATAACAACAGGTCCAACTTTCCTATTACAGTCCCTTGACAAGTTGTAAAATAACTTTACGAGAGAAGGACTCTCTAGTGCCAAAACAAAATGGAAACAATAACCAAGAAGCAAGACATTCTTCATTGGTATATTATTCAAATTTCCCTCAAATTACCCAACAGATATAATTCAGTGTCAAAAGAGATCAAGGCATTCCTAACATAACACAAGAATTATATTCTAATAAAATTAACCAGGAATGGCAGAAGAGAAAGAGAGAGAGAGAGATTAGTGCATAGTGAGCCGGTTTGGTAGTGGAAAACAAATAATTTTCTGATCTAGCTCTCTTGGTAACAAAATGCTGAAAACAAAGCAAAATTCATATTTAGCAGTCTGCTTAGAGGAACTTTTTTTCGAGAGAATTCCACAACGTGACCATTTTAGATACATGGTTTAAACACATGTACGTGTGCAAGACATGTACAATTATTAAACAATATTGCATACCTACATATACATTTCAGATGTGTATAGAACAGCAATCTTCTAATTCCCTCCGGCCCCTTCATTTTTTTTCTTTTCAACCTCATTCAGATCAGGTGGTTAGATAAACTTATATCTAGGAAACTTTGTTTCTTATAAAAAGAAAAAAAAGAAAAAGAATAAAAAAACAAAAGACTATGCTCTCCAATTAGTAATCTTTTATTTAAAGTTATACTATTCTTTCGATGGATGCTCGGGCAAAAGCAGCAGCGGCGAGTACAGCTGCATCAGGCTCCACAGGAATAATTGGAGGCCTCCTCCATACTTTGAGGATTTCCAAAACAATTTGATAGTTTAATAAGTTAATTATTCAAATCTCTTCTCGGAAAGTAAAGATTGAAGAGTTAGCAATGCATGTTCCGTACATTATAATTTTACACATTTCCAACAAGTACCAAACAGTTTCCCTGGAATTACCTGCACAGGCGCGGGCAGGGTAGACGGCTGCGCAGCTGGTGGCTTTGCGGCAGCATCCAAACTCTTGGGCCTTTGGGCTTGGGCCAGAGCAGGCCAGGACTCAGCGGCCATGACGGAAGATTCGAGGGAGACCGGAGTCTTCCATGGGGACTTGGGCCCGCCGCCATTGACATTGAGGTCCCTCTGGTCATCCCTAACCTCATTCTCAGCCATCACCATCACTCCCTCCGATCTCACCAAAACAAAATTCCTTTTCTTTGCTTTGCTTTCCTTTCCTTTCAATAGATTATAGATTATCGATAGAGGGTGACAAGAGAGACGACAGTGTCACTGTGTCAGTGGCAAAGGTGTAAAATTGAGGCCAAGGGACGCGCTTGGGCAGGAATATCAAGATCTTGGAGGGCTACTGGGAGGAGCTGCGGGGTTTTGTACTGTTTCATTCCGACATGGGTTTGGTGGGAGTTAGGGTTTTAAGGGGAGAAGAGCGAGAGAGAGAGAGTTTGAGCGAGCAAGAAAGAGAGAGGGATTGACAGTTGAGGTTGCGAACGCCAACGAAAGCAAGTGCGCGCAAGGTTTGGGCTCCTTTTATATGAGGATTTATTGATGCCCGAGTCAAAGGGTGTTTGTCTATGTGACAGCCTGACTGACCGACCACTGTTTGGTTACTTCCACTTCCAGATTGCTATATATGAAACGTACAAGTTTCATTTTTAACGTTTTTCGTAGAGATATCACTTAGTACTACGGTTTAGTATTCATATTCATTCGTAAGTGAGAGATATTACGTTCGATTCTCGCTAAAGGCGAATTTGAACTACATTATTGCTAACTCACTGTAAGGTTGACCCCATCCCTCCCCCTTAGTGTATATAATATTGTTTGTTCAAAAAAAAAAAAAACATTACTTGTGGAGAGTAGGAGTGTAGAGCGGCTTAATTCAGTTCGAGTTCGACTCGTGTTCAATTTGTTCTTCTTTTGTTATTCGGTTTGCGATTAAGTCTGAGTTAAGCTCAAATAAATCTACACATTATTTTAAACAAAGAAAGTTTGAGCTTTGTGTATACTCGGCGTGTTAAGCTCATAAATGTTTATACAAGAGAGGTTGAATTTAGCTTAACTTGGACTCTTTCTGTAAACACGGAAATTCCTGCGATGAACGAGACAAGAAACACGTGTACAAAATAATATTTGTATTTGATGATTTTGGGTTACAATCTCTCTCTATCTTGATCCTCTGATTCGATCTCCGTAAGGTGTGTATTTGTGGATGTGCGATTGATCCAAAGGGCCGTTGGGCTTGATCTAAGGATGAATGTTCTGCAAAGGGCGTGGAATTGATCTTGAAGGTGGATTTGAGCGGATCTTCAAAGGGGCTTTTGGGCTTAATATTTGAAGAACAGTGATGAACGGATCTCCAAGGGCTTTTGGGCTTGATCTTGAAAAACGGTTGGACGTGTGAATTTGTTGATGTTGTTGATCCAAGGGCCGTCGGGGCTTGATCTTGGAAGAACGGATGATGAACGATGGTGCTTTCTTCAAGGGCCGTCGGGGCTTGATCCTGAATTGGTGGATGATTGTTGATCCAAAGGACCGTTGGGGCTTGATCTTGGAAGAAACAGTTGTGCAGATTTGTTGACGTCGTGGATCCAAAGGGCCGTCGGGGCTTGATCTAGGGATGAACGAATGATGAACGATGGACACTTTCTTCAAGGGCCGTCGGGGCTTGATCTTGAATCAGCGGAAGTTCTTCAAGGGCCGTTGGGGCTTGATTTTGAATGAGGATTTGATGAAGAACGAAGAGAGCTCTCTTGATCCTTCGGGATTTGCTTGGGAGCTTTTGAGTTTCAAAGCTTCAAGGTTGTGGTATGAGGTGAATTGGTTATGAATTGGTGTCCAAAATGAATGCCTTGGCCTCCTATTTATAGAATTCCAAAACTTGATTTTTTGGATTTAAATAATTAGATGAAATAAATCATTTCTGTCAGGTGTTGACACGTGTCCTGTTTGATGACTTTTCCGATTTATTTTGATTTTTTGTTTAGTCACATGCTATGTGTAAAATTTATGTGACACATAAACATTGAAATTTTAATTATTGATCAACATTTATTTTACCGAAATTTCGATGTCTACACTTTCATCGAAGTTTACTCAAAAAGCTCTTTTATAAGAAAGAAATGTATTACAACAAAAAGCTCTAAGGCAACCACCACCCATAAAGTCAATACCTAGCTTGATGAATCTCTAGCTTAATGGAACAAATTCATTTGCAACGATGTCAAATGTAATGTTCTAGATTTGCTAAAGCATCGCCTATGAAGGTAGCCCGTTATGTCAAATATGTTGAAGCTAATGCCATCAAACTTTCGAAGGCCTCTAATGTTGGAGAACAAGTTTTCAAACGTCAAAGGATCTTGAGAAGGGAGTTGATAGCCCATCTAAGAGGGTTTGTTCTTCACCCAGGAGTGTATCAATTATTCCCATACTTAGATCAATCACCTCTTAAAGCGCTGCTTTGTTTTCACAATGTTGATCACCATGATGAAGGGCCTTCAATCTCTGTCATGGAGCGGAATACACCCTTTAAGATTTGTGGTTGAATCTAACTCTTAGATGGTTTACATACCCCTCTCCATGAGAATAAACCGTCGTAGTTCAACTCTTAGAACTAAGGTATGTGATGGATCAAAAACAAGAGTGAAAGGCTAGTACACTCTTGCTCAAAGGTGGAAGCGGCGGTGAACCGCATCCTCTATCGGCAAATCGGCTACCTTCCGTACACTTTGGGACTTCGTAGCAGGTATAGAAGTTATTCTTCATGTTGAGCTACATGCTTGTAAAATTTGGTTGACATCGAAAAACTGGGTTTCAGTTTGTCGAAAATCATTGTACGAGACGATGCTTGAGAAAAATTTGGTGATTTGGATTTTGAACAGCAAGATGTTCTCAATCTCGTGAGCCTATATCCAAGGTTCATTTGTTGAGATTCGATGAGATGATTCAATTATTCAATTTTTGAGTTAATTGTATGGCTGTTTTTTGTAATTAACAATAACCTGACCTGTTGGATTGTCATGAAATTCAAATAGGATATCATTAAGGCTTGATGGAGCTTAGTGTTGTGTACTTTTCAAGTGCAAATATAAGGATAATATAATGGCAAAAGTAAGGGTGTTGAACCACATGGACTTATGTGAACTCTAAGTAAGCAATGAAAATGAAAACTAAATTTAGATTTTTATTTTGAAAGCTAAAGTAACTTATAATGCAAGACAAGATAAAGATGAATGATAGATTGATTCAGAAATGATGGGAACGGAACTAGGGATACCGATTTCACCATTACAAGTCAATTCCATGAAAACTAAGTCAAAACGCATTCAACTCTCCAATCTGTAACTACGGTTCGTTTTACTTATTTATGATTATCCATCTTGATGTGTGGTTGTGATCAAGTACTCATAATTTGCAACCTAGTTGTGATGTTCAACTTAGATTAGCAAGTAAGAATCCATTAAGAACAAGAAAACTTCAAAGAACCAAAGAAATCATATGGCAGAATGTATGCATAGCAGTTTTTTCATTCATTCACATGTCCACCAAGATTAAGCATGATGTGTACTATAACCTTGATCAAATAATTCAAAAGCAGCCCTAATGGTGATCAAACATTATGATCAACAAACAAATTATATTATAAAATCAATGAATGAAATAAGAACACAGATTGGTAATTTGAATACTTTAACTTAATAACATAGAGTAGGTTTGCAAGGCTACATCGAAATCCCCAGCTATGAACTTAATTACACAACATGATTACAGAATATATAAATATCAAGAACAACATGAGTGAAACTAAAGTTCATAGAAGAAAACCCCTTGAAGCAATTCTGATGTTAAAATTCTGCAAGAACAGCACGGCTGCGTGGTTTCTTCAGTGGCAGCGGATGGTGAAGGGAAATAGGGTTTTGTTTTTGGAAGAAAGGCCAAAGAAAGAGAAAAGAGAGAGCTATGGGCGACCCTAAGGGGGGCTTATGAAAAAGTGATATGAAACCCTAGTATTGATTGTTGGAAATGTGCCCTAAAACCAATCATATGATGATACTATACGGACATTTCACAAGTTAAACTAATGTAGTTTAAATATAAAGGGCAAAGATTATTGTTTTAAGCCGTCTCATATAAATGTTATATGCTTAAACGATAAGTCCAAGGAATATGTGATTGGAAGAATGCAATCTAAAGAAGTTAGATTCATGAGACCATTCTTTCGTATACATATCCTAAACGTTCCTGATCATAGGATTGCCAATTGGGCATTGACAGTCTGTTAAGATCAGTACGTGCTGTGTCTTCTCTCAGGGAGAGTGACTAGTCTCGAGTCATTGGTGTGTGTGATATCAAGACAAGTACGTAGGTGCTCAATAGAAAATGAGTTCACTGAACACGATCAACGAAGAGTTCTCATATTTATGTCACATAAGAACTCATGGTTGAGATAATGCAAAGTAGTCCTTTGACCTGAGGCATCATAGTTGTCTTGTGGTTAAGTCCTTGATCTTTGATTATGTCAAAAGTCACTCCAAAAGGAGGGTGTCCACGGCATAGTTGGGGTTAAGCCACTTAGCCATGGAGGTAAGTGAATGCGCAACAAGGGATCTCTAACCTTCAAACTGTTTGATGGAGAATACTCTATGATATGATTAAGAATCTCTGGCCAAAGTATGAATGAGATTTAGGAAGTCGTTCCAAATCACATTCAAGGTAACCATATAAGCACACGAATCACATTGGATAATAGACATGAATAAACTATCAAACCAAACAATGTGGTCAAGAGTATTGTATTAGAGAAAGACCGTATTGCATTTGTAATCCTAAACTGAATAGGTTCTCCACCTCTTCTGGTTAGCTTGGGTAACCATGATATGCTGCTAGGTGTCACTCATGGTTTGTGGAAGCCCTAAACGTGTATAATCACTAAAGGGAGAATTGAAAGTAAGTTTCAATTCACAATCGATTTGAAATGGTTTTAATCGCCCACTGCCTTGCTAAAAGGAACCTAATGGATCGTACACCGTGTAAGGTGGAGATTGAAGAAACAATGGAGATGAGTAAGAATAATTAAATGGTTTAATTGTTTATGGCAAGGATTAATTAATATGTTAATTAATCAAACGAACAAGTTCGTTAAAGACCTCGGGATAGTTTTGGACCTTAAGGCCCAATGGGCTTCGAATGTCAAGCCCATTGACTTAAGTTGTCTGACAATTTAATGAATAAAGATTTACAAGGGCCCAAAAGCCCAAATCCCTTTTGTGGCCGGCCATTTGATATGAATTAGGGTTTTTGGTTCTTTAGGTCACTTAAAGAAGTGACTATATAAAGAACTTTATAGCCAAAATTCATTAAGGGTTTCTTTTGGAGAAAATTGGAGAGAAAATTGGAGAGAACATGTCTCTCCCTTTCTCTCTAAAGAGGCCGGCCCCCTTGGAGGGATTAGCTAGTAATCTTTCTCCTCCAAGGTCACTCATTCATCAATCTTACCTTGGTGTGG